AGCCTGCTCTTGGCAGGGGAGTGCCCTGAAACGGACTTTGGGTGTTTCTGAATTTGGAACCAGATCATTGGATCAAGCCACCCTTGAACTCGCACAGTGAGCACGATGGTTCAGGGCACATTTCCTCTGTGCTTTCCCTCCTAGGTCATTAGGGTCCCCGCTCAGGCCCTTCTGCCACTGGACAAGGCCATGGAGTTGAGGCGAGTTTTCACGGAGCAGGGAAGGGTGACAGAGGAGGGAACATATTTGAATGTGAGGGATGAGAAGCAGGGAAAGGCACCTGACAGGTGCCAGGGGTGGGGAATGTCAGGGACCAGAGTCCTCAGCTCCCTCCTCAGGCCTTGAGATGGACCGTGGGGGGCCGACTTGAGCTGGGGGTAGAATCCCTGACGTCGGCCTCGGCCGCTCCCGCCCTGGCTGGAGACAGGATGTCTGGATTGTGTGGTGATGGCCAGGACCGTGGGGTTCCATTTGGGACAGCTGGGGACATGGACAGTCGCTGAAGATGTGTGCCAACGTGCTCACTGTGGGAGCAGACGGGGTGGTCCCTTCAAGTGAGGGGCAAAGCGACCCCATCAGAGGCTCTGGGGCAATTCTTGTTTTTTTTTTTTTTTATTAGTTTCTCAAAACATTACAACCATCTTGACATATCAGACATTTGATTCAAATGGGGTATGAATTTATTTTTCCACGTGTACAGATTGTAGGATCACAGTGGTTTTACAGTCACATTTATACATACAGCCATACTAGTGTCTATTGTATTCTGCTACCCTTCCTATCCCCCCTCCCCTCCCCTCCCCTCCCCCTCCCCTCTCTCTACCCACTCTACTATGACACTTCTCTCTCTCTCTCTTTTTTCCCCCTTACATCATCTTATATGTAATTTTGCAAACCAGTGAGATTCTCCTTCCATCTTCCGTGCGATTCCCCTTCTCTCTCCCATTCCCATGCATCTCTCATCCCTATTTAATGTTAATCTTCTTCTCATGCTCTTCCTCCCTGCTCTGTTTTGAGTCACCCCCCTTATATCAAAGAAGATATTTGGCATTTGCTCCTTAGGGATTGGCTAGCTTCACTCAGCATAATCTGCTCTAATGCCATCCATTTCCCTGCAAATGCCATGATTTTGTTATTTTTTAATGCTGAGTAATATTCCATTGTGTATAAATTCCACATATTTTTTCTATCCATTCATCTATTGAAGGGCATCTGGGTTGGTTCCACAGTCTAGCTATTGTGAATTGTGCTGCTATAAACATTGATGTAGCTGTGTCCCTGTAATATGCTCTTTTAAGGTCTTTTGGGAATAGTCCAAGAAGGGAAATAGCTGGGTCAAATGATGGTTCCATTCCCAGCTTTCCAAGGAATCTCCATACTGCTTTCCAAATTGGCCGCACCAATTTGCAGTCCCACCAGCAATGTACAAGTGTACCCTTTTCTCTCTGGGGCAATTCTGAAACTATGATTCAATGGAGTCACAGGGAGTGTCGAACTTGCCCAGGCCGACGATGGAGTGTTTTCTGTTAGGAGTGAGCGTTCACGGGACAGGCTCCCGGGCAGCATGCAGGAGGGTTCAGGGCAGAACACCTACCAGGGTTTCCCTCCACACAGACCCCATTGCAGGGAGAAAAGAATTCCTGAAAGACTGAGCAATATATAAAGGAAAATAAATTTTAAACCTGAGGAAATATGGTTGGTTACCCACACTCAGTGCTTGAACCGATCGAGGCGGTGGATGGTGAGGAGTTGGTTTCTTGTTTCCAGAGATCACAAAGCGAG